TGAATTCCGATTGGGGGAATTTTTGTTAAGGTTGTCTGGAAACAAAATACAAGCAACGACATTTCGGTGGAAGCTGTGCCCTTAGCTTCAAGCAGTTTTGCATTCAACCCGAAGACAGAGCCAACCCATCAGACATGGATATTTTTAGGTCAACACATTTTACGACTCACAAAGATAATTCTTTTATACTAATTCTACACCGAAATCTCTGATATTTTGGAACCCCAAGGTGTATATAATTTTAACAAAATGGATTATTTCTTTACATAAATGCACTTACATTAAAATTACATTTCTTTTATAATTATTCTACATCGAAATGTCTGATATTTTAGAACCCGAAAAGAAAAAGTATATATTATTAAGAAAATGGTTAATTTCTATGCATAAATGCACTGACATTCAAATTACATTTCAATTAAATTTATATTAAATAAATTATTCATGGTAGAAGACGCATTCCTTCGTGAGCTACATCATCTCACGTAGAGCTACAAATTTTCTGTAACTGTTTCTGTAAAATATGACACAAATTGTGTTGAGTGTAGATAATACTGATGGATGATGAACGAGGGTTTGTTTTCACTTTTAATATTTCAAATTGCAGGTATCCGGTGGCAAAGATGAATGTTCATAGAAACCATCTTTCGACTTGTGTCATCAAGAACCTACCGAATGCAAGAGATTACGCATACAAACACAGAGACAAATTAATGAAGATGAAAAGCAAAACATTTTTGGATAGTTAAAATCAGTAATTTGCAGTTGATTTCAACAACGACGAACACATTAATTTTAATTAAGTACCTTAAGAAAATAATGTAAGAAACTGAGAATTGATGTAGGATCTACAAAAATTAAATAAAAGGGAGAAATATTGTTTGCTGCAAAGAAGGAGAACTTATTTTCTGCTCAAGAAGTCTTACTGAAATTAACTTAGAGACAAAGGTTTTTGTCTCCTGGGTTGTTGCGCTGTATAGTCTGACCAGACTACACAGCGCAACAACCCAGAAGACAGAAATCTTCACAATCACCTCTGTGAAAACGTCAAATCTTACATATCTTAAAGACGTTTAATTTCATCCAAATATTACTCTCCATTAACACATAGCAGATTCTCTTTGCATTTTTCATGTAATCAAATTGTGCCGACATGTTTCGAGTTACGAAACCGTCTTCATGATATTAGGGGCAGATTAAATGTTTGCTACATGAACGTCATTTACAGAAACGTCGTTATGAAGGCAACAGATTGAGAATTTTGTATTGATATCAGACCTACCCGTGATATTTAAAAAAATTGTAAAATTATATTTGACTAGGTTGCCCCAGTATAACGGGTAATTGTGCCATGTCCCTGAGGAAGTACCTACCTTTTCAAATGACGTGCTTTCAGTTAACAGATGTGTTTATTTATTCCCGGTATTTTGTACGGTACTTTTAAGTATTTTGATGAACAAGTGCAAAATATTACCACAAAATACACAAAACTAGGAACTTGAATTTAGTTAGGATAGATACAGAGAAGAAGAAAAATGTGACAGCTCTAGTCAAATGGGGAACTCAAGGCAAGTTTCCGAGATAAAATCAAATACAGAATCAGCTTCACAGATCATAAGCCGGGTCTGACAGAAGACTTTACGTCGTCTAACTGCCTGGTACCTGGGAAATACAGCACCAGAATGTGCCATTAATCCAGACGTGGTTAACATAACAAATTATTTATTCCGTTCTAAGTCCATTGTGTTACAAGACTGCAGATTCAGAAGAACAGACTTTCAAATTAAGGAATAAGAACACAAAGCTACAGTTACCGTGCAATCTGTTAACTTTAAAACACAGAAGAGAGAGAGAGATGAGATTTTTCTTTACCACAAAGAAACGACGACAACCCCAACCGCCATAACATCTCGATACTGTTTCTAAGATGTCACCAGAGATGTCAGTGCGAGCAGAGCGCGCTCATTTCAAATCGTTTGAAAGATAATTGGGGTCCCGTGATTCCTCTCCTCCTCAATTCCCCTGTTGTTACACACTGAGATTCTGATCGTTTACGACGGATTTTAGCAGTAATTTTAAGCATTTGTTTCACCGCTTAACTTTGGCTGAATGTAAAACACACGCAATATTCATATTACTTGAAAAAAAGATAAAAACAATCCGAAGTGACGTAGGTTGGTACGCCCTTTAATTGTCAACCCTGATTTATTCACGTTAAATTAATTCAGTTACAGAGGTCTGCACTTGCAGGCAACTCTCCACTACTACAACAGTATCTGAGTCTCTGCTCTCAACGCGCGCGCACTCGCACTGTCCTTCGAGCCTATCTGGTCCCCAGAGCTTGGCGTTCTTCACACATGCAAACACGTCGGCCCGTAGCAACCCACCGGACGCACGCTGGCTCCTCGGCCGCCACGGTCCACGAACTCGGTGCTCTCACACGCAGCCGATCTGTGCTTACTCAGCGCCACACCAGACCGCTCGACTCACTTCGCTCTTATCACCAACTCGGTCCTCTGGCTTATCGCATGCAACTCCCCTCGCACTCGGGCAGGCGCCCAACCCACAAGTCGGAGGATCACCCAATGTCGGCTGTCAGCGAATTCTTATTAGAAACACTCCGTATCTGGCGGCCATATTCAATCGTGATCCTGGTTTTCTATGGACTACGGGGTAAAAACCCTCCTTCTCTGCGCCCAGTCTTGTTTCTGGGGCCCACCTAGCCTGGTATCCCCTGACCACCGAGTGTCAAGCAGGCCGAAGCGTGAAGATGACGCTTGAGCACAGGAACAATTATCTCATCAACGAATTATCTGAGGCGGAAATGGAATCGATACCAGAAATCTCCGTACCTTGCCGAAAGTAAAAACACGAAGTACTGGTCACAAAACGTTGAAGTTTAGAAACAAAAAGTATAACGTTAACAGATTATCTAAGCAATATTCAGTTCGAATCTTGTAGAATGAGACAATTTCTATCTTATCCAACGCAAATTCATTATCAGTATCTTAAAATCATTCACAATTTCACCATGAACTATTCAGAATTCATAACAAAATTAGCATCCTCCATTCGAGGCCGCCTCTCAGATTATTAAAAATCTGTGGCAATATAATCTAAAAAATTCGATCCAATTTCTGTCCCCTCATCCCCAAAATATCGGTTTCATCCTATCGCAGGAGGCTAACACGTTTGAATCGGCTAACCCCGGTTTCCAGGTTCTTCTCAGTTACTTTAAAGCAGTAGGACAGTAGACACTATCGCTTAAGGACTTCAACATAACCTTCCAGGACTTTCACAGCATTTGTCCAGGATTTCTCCAGCACTTCTCGTGACCTATTAACTTCCACATAAGCTCTACCGGACAACTCTACTATAGGACATATCCAGGATATCTCCAGGACATTTCCAACAATTTTCCAGCACTTCTCCAGGATTCCTCCAGCACTTCCTCATGATCAACAACTTTCACATAAACTCTTCAGGACTTCTCAGGAATTATCTAAGATTTCTCAAGGATTTTTCCAGGAAGTCTACCTAATTAGAGGGAGGTAATTTGATTTATTTATGTTATTATGAGCCCATTTGGAATGAATCTGATTAAAAAAAATATTTAAAAAATTTTACGCAGTCGGTGTTCGAACCTGGGTCGTCGTAGACTTCCACAAATGTGATAATGAAGACTTACTTATGTGTTACCAAATATGTGAAAGAATGGAAGACGTGAAATTTTTCAGCAGCTGCTGAATGACACAGTTCTTGTATCTCTTCATGTCTGATCTTGTACAATATGCAGCAAAGGCACTATCAGTTCATTCTGGAATGTGCACTTTGCTGGTGTACAGAGATTGTGAAAGGTACCATAGTCAGTTCATGAGCCGGGATAGCTCAGTCAGTATAGTAACTAGCTACGGGCTGGACGACCGGGGTTCGATCCCCGACTGGGGTAGAGGATTTTTTTTCCTCTAGCCTCTGCGTCCAGACCGGCTCTGGGGTCCACCCAGCCTCCTCTACAATGGGTACCGGGGGTAAAGCCGGCCGGGGCGTGATGCTGACCACTCACCCCCATCTAGTGACGAGGTCAAGGAATAGAGGAGCTATACCTCCACTCCCCCCAAACGCCTACATGGCGTATAGTGGGACAACCTTTACTTTACTTACCATAGTCAGTTCAGCCAGAAAATTTTTCAGAACTCAGTACATAAGAAAGTCACAAATTGAAGAGCAAATGAATATTAAAATTTATGTAGATCTGAATAAGACATTTTCTCAGACTTAAAACATGATCAATGAAGCTAAGAGGAATGCTGCAGGCAATGGAATGTGCTGCAGTGAACAAATGATTCTGGTATTTTAAGAAGGGCAGACAGTCATTGGTGGATGACCCAAGGAAGGAAACACCAGTAGCAGCTTGTAATAATGATATCATCCGACGTCAAAGAAGTCATCTCAGAGAACCATACATGACTGATCCAAGAAGCTAATCAGAAATAAAAAAGGAAAGAAACGCTAGCAGTATGAATGATATTTTATTTATTTATTTATTTAGTGTTCTGTCTGACGACAGGTCCATATGAACAGGATCCTTCAATCCTTTTCTCGGACTGGGAGCTGTTCATATACGTTCTTGGCAGATGATCCAGAAGTGGTTTGCCATTGCCTTCTTCTGTGTGTGAATGGAGTAATTGTTGGGATGCCACGGAGAAACCGGGGAAGCCCCCGGAGGAAAACTCCGTGTTGCCTAGACCACGGCCTTGCCCAACACAAGTTATAAATTCGGGCACCGCCGGGAATCGAACCCGACACCCCAAGATTACAAGGCCAGCGTTCTAACCGCTAGACCACCGTGGTTACCTATGAATGATATAAGAAATATTAAGTCGTTCAAGATGATTTTATTCCTTCACTTTGAACAAATCCAAAACTTTTCTCACAGCTGCATAAAGTGAGACATGTGTGTTTATATTGTTAATATAAAATTCATCTCTCATATTAATCACAGATATTTACCACTTTTGCATTGCCTTTATAAAAACTATTTAAACAGTTTAAAAACAGTCTGTAATAGTGCCAGTTCCACACCACTCAAAAACACAACTTCTTCCACTCTTATATGTGTAGTCAAACAAATCTGAAAGGTTCGTATTAGAACCTCAAAGTATTTTATGTAACTGGTAACTATGACAGCAGTTTTACTAAGCATTTAATCTGTTGACAGTTCAAACATCAACTGAATTATTTATACAATGTTTCATCACTTTCTATATATATATAATTTTGTAATAATATTTATTTATATTTCCATTTCAACTAAATTATTTTGAATTGAAGCATTTTCAGAGATGAGTCATGGTGGCCTTATTATGTTCTAATTTTATAAAGTTCATGAAATGAAAGCACAGATAGTAATAGTAGATCACTGGTTGCATATTTTCTATCAACATGAAAATCTGAGTTACTTGCATTACATTTACATCAAATTAAAATTAAATTGGCTTTACCTGCAATCTTGTGCTGCTCTTAGACATGATTTATTCCTCATTATAAAAGGAGACAAAGTGAAGTTTATGCATTTTATGTATTTATAGTTTATTTAATGATACTTTTCAGTAGCTCAGACCATACAGAATCGAATGAGAGGATTATAGTTAATAATGATTTGAAAACGATGTGAAATGAAGTGATCATAGCCTAATTTAAGAACTATCCTGGCATTTGAGGGCTGGTCTAAAGAAAACCCAGTCAGGATAGCTGGTGTCCGGGCCAACATTTGAATCCAGGGCCTCCCGAATATGAAGCATGACGTTCAGTAAATTTTATGTAATAGAAAAAAAAAATGTATATACACTTTGTACCAGGAAAACTGTCATTAAAACAACACTTAAAATTTCAAA